AACAGCTACTGCTGTTGTTGTTACCATCACCACCCCCACCACTACTACGGCGGTGCGGGTGTATCGTCGTTGCCTGCAGCAATGGTGGGCGTTGGGCTTCGTTGAAGGCTGGGAGCGAGTCATATGCGGCAAGTCTCCCTGGCACAGTCCCCGAGAGATCCCCCCCCCCCCCCCACCTTACCTTCGCTTGAGCTGCTGCTTCTCCTCCTCCTGGCATCCCAACGACAGATATAACTTGCGCACACTTACACATTTATATATTAGTATATGTATACAGATGTAGATATCTTATTCTATGGCTGGCCCACAAATACAGTTGCCTTCTTTTCTTTCCCAGGAGGTGGCACAAAATATCTCCGGTTCTCTCTCTCTCCCTCTCAGTGATCATCCATCACCACCGCTTTGGCCCTTTGGATATGCATGGGAGCCCACGCTGTTGAAGCAGAAGAAGAAGAATCCATCACCACCACCACCACAATGCTATGGGCAAGATGAAGATGCTGCCGATGCTTTGCTCGTTGTCGCAGTTTCATTGTGCTGGAATTGCCACCTAAAATATATAACTTGGCTTTTAGGGTTTGTTCGCGCAGAAGATCGTTGATATCCCCGTTAGATGCTTTTGAAGACGTATTTTTCAACATGCTTCATTTTCAACAAACCCTGGTGGGTGAAACTATTCGTCAGGATGTTGTGTAGTGGTTGAATTAGAGGTCTCGTACATCCAGTATGGTAAAACATGTTATTATACCAATTGAATTTGGTGAGAATCTCACTTACTATTTTATTTTACATTTAGAAAACTAGTCCAAAATGTTGTATAGGAAAAGATGAGATGGAATGCATTTGTTCCCTGCATGGTAGGAATAGTTCTGTCTACTTGAATTTGCGTTCAGTCCATCTCAAGAAGTGGTGTTTACAAAGGCCAATACTTCTAATGGGAGAGTATTTTTCACTATACAGCGGACTTTTGTAAAACTTTTCTACCATGAATTTCTAAGTAGAAAGACATCTTAATTTAAATATGAACTAATCAAACAAGTAAAATAAATTTATCTGTAGTATAAAATGATAATTCTATTACTATAAATACTACATCTTGGTTTTGTTTTTGAATGGTTTTTTAGTACAAAATTTAAATATATTTTTATTACATTCCATTTAAAACTTTGAAGCTTAATCAGTTTTCTTGATGTGTAAAAATATAAATATAAAATATAGCTTGAGTAAGAACCATTATGTGCCAATTAACTTTTACTATGATGATTTTATTATGATTAATAATTGAATTCTAAATTCTAAAATTTTGAAATTTTAAAAATATTCTAATTAATACTCAAAATTATATATTACATTGTAATTTTTTTCTTTGGTTTTTTAAGTGATAGATTTGAACAGTTCTTTTAATTATAAAACACAAATTTTGATAATTTTTTGAAAAAAAAGATTATTTCTACAAAAATAAATTATACAACATAATATCATTTTTAAATCTTTTAAAGCTAAACTCTAACAAGACAATAACATTTAGATATATATTATTTACATATTTTATTTTGATTTATTATGTTTAAAAGACAAATCAGTCTTAATTTCTTATTTGTTCAAAATTTCTATTAATTAACTATTATTTTTAATTTTTATTGATAGTTTATGTTATAACTTTTTAATATGATATTTTACTATCAAAACATGTGAAAAATAAGTAACTTTTTATGTTTTAAATCAAATTTAAAATTAAATTTATATTGCACGATTTAAAGTTATTGCATTCTACTATACTATTGTAATTAAAAATCATAATGTTGCAATTATTATTTTAGATGTAAAATTTTTTATGTAAAAATAATAAATCATTTAATAATAAAAAGTATATATGTATGTATATATATATAATTTATTTTAATTTATTATTTACTTATTTATTTATTTGGATGTCAAATTTTAAATTTTAATTAAAATAAGACGACTCATTGTGATTTTAACAATGATGCCTAACATAGGATAAACAAAGAATAGTTGTCCATATATAAGAAAATAAAATTATTCTACAAATATTCAAGTAGCTACAACAATATTTCTATCTCCATGTCTCGGGCCACAAATAATAATGGAGATATAAGTTTTAGAAACATACTAATGATGTCTCTTTTCTTACCTATTGATGCAAAGGTGCTTTTAGAGCTTATTAACAACAATAATGACAATGACAAAGTATGTGGCACCGTCTGTGCACTCTTGATATTTTTCAACAAAGAAATGCAACATTTTTTATTCTAAGAGTTTTATCACCATGACATTGCTTTTCTAAACAAAAAAATACATTGTTCATCAAAATGAAATAAGGAGCTAGACAACAATGCTTAGTTAGCAATGACTTAATACCTTCAAATACCATTTCAATCAAGTTTGTGAGCTCAATTATTTTACAATCCAACAAAAAACAATGTTATAGATCCATGGCAAAGTTAATGGTGCAAACTTCAATATTTTGATGGGTTTAAGATTTTTTATTATATAGCTTATAGAACTCTTACAAAGTCTTATTAATGTGTAAAGTAGTAGATAGTATTGAGGTCAATTTTATTAGAGATTAGTCAATAAATGATCAAAATTCTCATTTCTTATCCTTGTAGTAATATGAAAATCCAAAAATTTGAAATCTAAAAATCTTTATTATAACCATGTTGAGCTACAAGAAATCCTTGTAAGTGATAATATTGAAATTATATCACAAAAATAATCATTCATTTCTCATTTAAATAAAATAATATTTTTTTAATAAAATCAACTAATTATACAAATAAAGATATTTTATACACCTATAATAAGTTTATAGTGTATTATATATATATATATATATATATATATGAGTATAATTATCAGATTAATATCATTAATTTTATTTATCTTTTTTTTTTAAAATTTTATTTTTAGCATTTTTATAATACAATCACTAAAACATCAATTTTTTTGAGTATATATATATATATATATATATATATATACTCCAAAATAGAATATAATTAATGTGTAGATAATAGTAAGTTAGATAAAAAAAGAAAATGGACCTTACATCCTAACATCTTTAAAATGGATAGAAGAGCTTATAGAACTCTTTTGAAGCTCCACTATCTTATGTTTGTTTTTGAGTATTTCATGCATAATTATGCTAGATTGTGGTATTTTAGGATTCTAAGATAATGTCATGTTGGACCCAGACATAATTTTTTTTCTTAACATCTACAATTTATTCCATCTTTTAAGAAAGATTATCTTATATTCAAGATATTTTTTTATCTTCTTATATGTGACTTTCTTTAAAAAAATCCTATATTTGAAGAGGTCTTGCAAAATGAGTTTCATATTGCGGTAATTCATCTATATTTCAAATTCAAAATTAAGTTTTTTAAATAGAATCTAGATAGTTTATATACATAACTCTCTCAACAGTGACTAAATGGTCAATAGTATTTTAAATTAGGGATGTAACAATTGTGCAAAATGAATTTATTTTTATACAAAAGCTTTCTAAGGACTCTATTTTTTTAGGCACAAAGGTTACTTATCCATAATTAATGTAGTCGTCTTAGATTCTTTTTATCTTAGGTTTTTTCCAAAATTTGTATTGTCTAGTTTCTTGTTATAGAAGAAAACAACTAGATTAACTTCTATCAATGATGAAACTAGATTTTTTCTGCCATAAATTTAGTATGACTCTTCTATGCCAAATAAGCTATATAAGTATAGTATCATTTTGTGCATAAAAATAAAATCATGTGTTTCATTAATTAAAAGTTAAATCTTCATTAAAAATAGAATTAAAATTTTCTAAATATAAATAAATAAAATATTACTTTTTTATATCAAATACATATTCAATTTTTTTCTTAAATTAATAATTTTACTCTTTAAGACTAATAATACCTATTAAGTTCAAAATTCAACTTTTTCAATTATCCTTAATATTTTTTTCTCCATAGAATTCAAGTATAGTTTTTAGAGCTATAGACACAATTTTAGAAAACCTTCAATTAAATATTTTTGCTAAGTTAGATGGCAATATTGTTGGTCAATTGGTAAGTCTTAGTTATAATGTAAATATTCTAATTGTGAGTTAATATGGTACAATTTAATCTTGATAGGCTTTTGTAGTATAAACCACATATATATTTTCATCCTTTAAGAAATTTAAAAACTGCAATTTAAAAGCTATTAGTTTTAAGTTTTTAAAGAACTTTCCAATCATTTAATTTTAGAAGAGAGACACCTTTCTAGATTAGATAACACCAAGTTCTTAGAATGTTAGATAAATTGTGATAAAACAATAAGTGCCTTCTAATTTAGATTTATACTAATGTTTAACTTCATTTAGAAACAATTATTGTTTTGCCTGGTCTCTAGTCTCCAAATATATTTTTTATTTGACAAGGTCAGGACCAATTTATTTGGAGACTAGAGAGCAGGCTAAACTCTTAGTGATCCTTGATTCAATTTTTGACATCAGATTCTTTTCTTTTCACTAAGAATGTAGAGTCATTTACATATTGTCTAAACATTTTTTGATAAAAGCTCCACGAAACATCAATACCATGTAAGCGATGCTTTTGCAGTTACTCCTTCCTCGATGATAAGCATTTCCTCCACTGTGAGAGAAAAAATTGGACAAAATTGGAAAAAATTGTCTTTCAATTGGACAAAAGTGTGGTAAGAGACTCTCTCGATTTATTCCCAACCAGCAGCAGCAGCGATGGCACCTTCGAAAGTGGATTCGTTGAGCATTTAGTGGTTACAAACTCAATCTCAGTCACCAATAAACCGGGACCATCAGCTTCTCGTGGACTGTCTGTTCCAGTTGCCGTACGATCATCAGCATGACCACTAACGGAGGAATTCGTCAAGATGGAAAAATAAATAAATTAAAAAATTAGGATAAACGTGAAATACAAAAGGGGGGATGAGAAACAAAAGGATCATCATCTTTCTTTGCAAAAGGGGAAGGAAGGGGAAGGGCAGTGAGTGAGTGAGTCAGGGAATAGGGAAATATCGGTCGGGAGTGATGAAGGAAGGAAAGGGGTCTGTCTGTCTGAGAGGCCATCTGTCGATGTCAGGAGTCAAAAATTACGGGCACTTGCCAGATTCATTAGGAAAAATATTGGGCTCCACCGTCTCGGGCTTTACCGCTTCAGCTTTTGGGCCGTGTGATGGATCTAACCCATCTAACGCTAGTCCTCGTGTTGCCCAATGCTTGCTCTCTCTCTCTCTCTATCGATGTATCTATGTATCTATCTAACTCATTGAGGTCTTGCACATCGCCACGCCACCGCTCTTCTTCTTCCCTCTGCCACCCGACGTACAGGAGGGCATCACTTTCAATCCGCAGCGGGGAACATCTGTAATGTGGTGAGGGTGATGGCAAACTGAACCTCGCTCAATCATGCTGGCACTTTTAACACGCTGAAAATTAGTGGCACAAGTGCAGGTTTCGATGGAGTTTCTGGAGCAGCTAATAATATCTGGCCGAGTGTTCCATGGTCTGGCGGCGACATAGCCTGTGTCATGGGCAATGGAGACGCAATCGATGTTCGGAACACACCAGGCCGTTGGATAGATTTCTCGTAGTGAAGGAGCAGTGGTAGGGTGTCGCAGACCATGGGTATGTCGGAAGTTGTTGACAGGAAGCAAGCCTGTGAGGGTTGTTCTGTGAACTAGTATTTTATTTCGGCCATTGAAGTGCGTCGGTTGGCGAAGGGCAATTGATCAGTCTCGCGAGTTCCTGATAGTAGTGATGCCCGCTTTGGAATAGATAGTGCAGGTAGATTATGGCAAAGTATGTGCTCATCGATTCAGATTTTTTGTTCTTATCGTGAATCGTTTTTTGTAACTGTGAGCGCAACTGGTTTTCTGAACTGAACTTGTGGGTATGAGCGCACCTGTGTTGTATTGTCACAGTTGGATCAGGCGTAGTTCTATAGTTTTGATAGTGATGAACGCGAAAAAATCGCAAGCCGACTTTGGATTTGGAGTCACAGCCCATGCGTAGTTACATTTTGTTAAGTGACCTCTCCGTCAGTGTTTTGGATCATTGCCAGCGACATCGCATTGTGTATTGGTCAATTGGGGTCAGCTGAGAATGTAGATTGACGTGTGTAAGTTTGGAGCGCTTCTGGTTGCAACGAATTTAAGACTTAGACGAAACTGGTCGCAGGAAGGAGAATCGGCGCAGTCGGTTTTAGCAAGTAGTATTGTGAGCACAGTTAGAGATTGTTCAGCAACACAGAATATTCCGTAAACGAAAGCCACGTTGTTCATTTTTGTACTGAATGCACCCAGTGTTCATAAAATTACTTTCCAAGTAAGCTTAACTTGCGGTTTAGTCTTAAAGCGGTAGCGCCAGTTGCGGGAGGTCGGCACAGTCCACCTGCTAACCCTAAGTTGCGTGCTTTACAAGCAGGCTAGCTGAGCCTTGAGGTGCGCACCAAGTTGGACGAATCACGCAGGACCACAAATGTTAATACAGGTGGTAAGTGAAGGGAACTGGAGAACAGAACGTTACGAAGACGTGACGGCGCAGTGGGACCAGCCACGCAACATCCTTGCAATATCCGTCATTATTCTCTGATCCAATCAGTTCAGTGTATTTAAGGTTTTATTGTCATCAACCGTCAACTTTCATGCAGGGAGCGTTTAGCGAAGGTAGTCAAGTTAGTGTGCTTTCATGAAGAATCACGCTTTCATCTGTCCACAGCTGTAGAGAGGGAGAGTGTTCGAGTCACGTACTGATTCTTGCTCGTCACATCAATACCTGACCAAGCAATTCGTAGATGCGTAGAACTTGATCCAGGGATTGCACCAGTCAATGTGATTCGTCGGGGCACTACGGTATTGACATGTTTAGACATTACCAAGTCACTAGGGACCTCGAGTCCCAGAGCTGGAGCGAGGCACCGAGTCTAATAGATTTTTCCAAGGAAGAGGGACCTGTATTTGAGGATAGATATGCGCAATGGACGCGACAATACCTGGAGCTCAGTCCACAAACCCAGCCGTTGAGCACAAGACCTAGAGAAAAATGGTTACAATCACGGGATGAATCTAGAATTACAGATGATGGACGATCTCGGGTGGTTCGATGGTCAACGCCATCATCCGTCGCTTCTGTGGAAGTCCGAAGTGGGGATTATGTATCAGATCATCGAATTAATATGGAACGTGCTGCAGTCAGCAGGTATTTGCTATGAACACTTAACTTCTTATGTGAGAGCCTTTTGCAGTGCTTTCGGAGTGATAATTTACCTTGCAAATAACCTGTGCACTATGCCTGGCACATCCCAAAGTTCATAAATTTCACAATCATATGGCAATAAAGTAGCACCGTCTTGAAATGGGATTTGTTTTACAAGCATAAAGTAGGTCTACACGAGGATTTTCTCTAAGCCTGAAGTTTTCAGCCATTTCACGATCAGTCACAACGTGCCGACACGCCGAGTCCGACAAAAAATTGCGGAATTGTTCGTAACGAACTCTTAGTTTAACTCCCAGTTCAGGTCCCGAAGTTTGCGTGAGCATTTGTCAACAATATTTGAAGTAGCAACGTGTGATTCACTGATCGGTGAAGATCCAGTACACTTATTGCAATAAATTAGTTGGGTGGTATAGTTTGTTCGACAATGTGGCTGGAATCAGTCACGTGGGATATCACTCGTAGAGCCGTCTACAATGAAGTGGAAAATTCTCCTCAGTATGTCGGTGATATAATTTGTTCGACAATGTCCGATTAACCTTCAGAGTGTTTGACCAATATTCTGCAGATTTTCACCTGCTGGAAACCAGATTCAGGACTCAACGACAGCATGCTCACAACAAGCGGCGAAGCAATGGAAGCTATGTCTTCCACGACCAGACCTGCCCAAGTTTCTCAGGATATCGTCCCCAACTTCTTCATCAACGAGGGAATCCGGTACCTCTTTGGACAACATGGTGGCCGAAGCGAGTGCTTCGTCAAGTCCACCTTGTCTCAGACGTCCGGACCAGCATAGATCCTCGGTAGTCTGTCCAACATTCTCTATGGATTTAGGTCAATTAGTTACAGACCTGGACGTGGGAGAACAGCGTGGAAGGCTCAGCGGTATGACACCACAGACCAAGCCACAAAATGGGGAGGTTGTGTTCACAGACAGCTCCTCAACCCGGGGTCGCAAGAAGCTAAGAAGGATGTTGGCAGCTTCAAGCACAACCGCATCCGAATGTGAGGACACATCAGCATCGCCTGAATTGACGTTGCCCTACAACGGCAACGCACAAACTGTTCCCACAGGGACTCCACATCCACCCAAGACGTCCGGGAAATCGCCTCCGGGTGGCGAAGAGAAGCACTTGATCCTGCAGGCCGCAACAGCGCTTCTAATGCTATTGACGAATGAGCCCACTCCGTCGTCCGCGGCAGCGCGTCCACCTGGACTTTCGTCGCCATCAAACGCGGACCTGTTGTCCGACATCGACGAATCTGAACGGCGAGGCTCAGCTTGTAGTCAAGCATCGGGCGACGCAGCGACGGGCTCCATTCTTCCCAGACCCTGCACCAAGCGTCGATACCGGCTGATGTCGGATCTGATGGCGGAGACTTCCAGGCTCTGAGTCTCGGAAGACGGGTAGATCTCCGCCGTTGTTGTTGTCGTCGTAGTTCCAGCTTTCACTGGCCCATGCGATTTGTCTGCAACATCGGCACTGTACATACTGTCGTCCAGCATTGAATCTAGACTCCAGACTCTTGTGGAGGAAGAGCAAATTTTGCTGCAGCCACTGAGCAGATTCCCGCAGCCAAGGCTCTTATGCGCTGATTGCTATTCCTAGTGTGGCTGTCCGGTATTGTAAAAATTGACTGTGCTTTGAATGCACGAGGTGCCATGCAATCCAGCCTCACGCTTCGCCGTTGCCAGTGCCGGGAAACGATATTTTCCTCTGTATTCACTCGCTGTCAGAAAACTTTTCTTTTTTATATAAATGTATACATATAAACAAAACACAACCCATTTTTCTTCCCTTTTCTTTTCCTACCCTTTTAATTATTATTGTTGTTTTAGTCATTCGTGTCATGTTGTGGCCTGAACTCACTCCCTCTGCGTCTGTTCACCACCATGAGCTGTGCATGGCTGGTTTCTAAGTATCATTCTGAGCAATTATAAAAGAAAAATAACAATCTGAACCACATTAACAGAAGGTAATGCTGCTGTGGTTTTAAGTAATAAGAAGCTGCAGTTTGAAAAGAGTATGCTGAAATTGCTTTGGTGCAGACAGAAAAACGAACACAGTATTGAATTAATGGCTCTGGTTCGATTATGTCTTAACGTGAAAGTGTTTCAAAAGAATGGGTGTGAAGTTTCCGTGAGATAAAACATGATCTATGGATCATGTTTTTCAGACTTCTTTTCAGAGGTTTCTTTTTTCTTCGTTTTGATTGCATCTATCAGAATGCGGCATGTTTTGAATATTGGAGTAGATTCACATGATACAGTTAATGTTAAAAGATTTTGTAGAATGAACGCAAAATTTACTGGTTCAGGCATCAAGCATTTTAGTACTTTGATGTGCTACTTCAAAGTTTTATAGATGGTGGTGTAAATGATGTGAACAGTCGTTTGATTCTACATTCCTGTTTGGTTTTTTTCTGTTTGCTTTTGTATCTTTCGATTATTTGCTTTAAGTTGGGTTGTAAGTGTTCTAAGTTTCAAAGATGTTTTATTATCAGATTCGATCATTGAAGTACAAAACTTAGAAAATACATCAAAGTAACCTACAAATCGGTAGTCCAGAAAAACTTAAACAACACACTTAAGACACTATGATATTTATTTGAATAAACAAATAGATTAGTTTAATTAGAAATAAATGGATTGGTAACAATTCATGTTAAAATTGATCAAGGTAAGTACTTAGATTCTTATGAAATATATATATATATATAGTAAAAATTTACTTAAATTTATAAATAATATTTTTTAATCATATTAAATTACATATAAAATTTTATAGTGTATTATGATCCATATTGTAATTAATAATAATTATGGAATGGTAGGGCAACAAAAGAAATTAGCAATTAATATAGAATGTCTTGAAACTTAAAGTGTTGTAAAATCCTACTATTTGATATTAATTATGACTAAACATACTTCAATTTTATTTTTTGTTTATTAACATTACTTTAAAATTTTGATTTGTTTAGTAAATTTTAGGTGTATTTAAATAAAATAAAAATTAATATTTTTAAAATATATATATTTTTTTTATTAGAAAGTCTAAATTTTTTATTTTAGTTTTTTATATTCATAATAATTAGTGGACTAATCTTATTTTTAGGTTTAAATGTAAAATCTAAAATTTGCAATCTTTATTGAGGTATTTTATTACATAGTTATGTTAAAAGTTTTCTATATAAAATTTTATTGTATTAATTGATAAATAAAACCTTTTATAATAAATTAAATAATAATTCAATTAAAAAAGTGATATTTCTACCAAAAAATTTATTATTTCTACCCAACGTTATATTGCATCTACTACACTATTATTGTTGTTGTCATCTTATGACCTATTGTATTTTAGCAATAGCTTTATCTAGACATTTGAAAAAAAAAAAAAAAAATTGTGCATTCTCAAGACCCCTACTCGGTGAGTTGTAGTAAAGATAGAAGTATTAGACCTTGGTACTAAAAACAATCTCCATAATATTCCTAACATATAAACTATCTCTTATATATATATATATATATATATATATATATACTTATTATAGATTATCTTATATTTAAATTATTTAAAATATAATTACTTATTATTTTAAAATTTATTAATAATTTATTTTAAATTTTAATATATTAAATATAAATATTAAAAATAAATATTAAAACTTAAATATATAATTTAACAAATTTTATACATATAGCCTATTGAAGTTGTTTTAAACTTTTCTTCTAAAAGTACCTTTGAAGCATATTTGTTTTGATTTAAAATTTTATGGTTTTAAATTCCAATGCTTCTTTACGTTTTATCTTATTTTTCATATAAGCTTAGAATTTGATACAAAATTCTAATAATATACAACTTAATTTACTTTAGCTCATTGATAATTTTTTTTAAAGCATTATTACTTTTGTTGCCACCAATAGCGCCAATGGCCATGTCACATGCCCTGACCTCAAAACGAGCTCCACCACATTCCTTTTAACTGCCCTAACAAAGTAGAGAGTTTTCTTAGCAGCCTACCATGAAAATTCCTTCTTTTTGCAGTAGTTGGGGCTTAAAATGGCATTGCAAGAGAGCCACTATTATTGAAGAAAAAAAACTTTGAAGTCACAATACATAACATCAGCAAGGTTGCTCACAAAGAGAGTATGGAGTAAGATAACTCTCACTTCCAACACCTGTTACTTTTAGGTTGTGGTTGTTGCCCTAATGGACAACTTTCACCTTTTGATGAATACATCCATCCAACATTCTACCAAGACTATCCATTGATATCCTATCTACTGTGAAAATATGCCTTTAATATATTCTCTATACTCTTAAGATCCTTTATCCATTCATCTATCTTATCTCTTGGACTTCTTATGTATCAAGAGCCAATTCTTTGAGTAATAGCAACTTACCTAAAATAATATCCTCTATAATGTAACTTATTCTACTTTCACTTTATTTACTTACTTTAATAACTATGAAGCGAGTACATGGCTAAAGGCGTGGCTTCTACCAACCATACCACTGTAGGTTTGAGAGTTGCAAAATTGTACAATGAGTGATGTGTGGTTTCTCTCTTTATCATGCAAAGAGAGACATATTTAATAGGAAGGATTTTTTTTGAAGGATGGAGGGAGGACAGAAAGAGGCTCGAAGTAAGGTCCTTGGAGACTGTCTTGTGCTTGCTCTAGCCAAATCGCCATGAATCCATAGCATCCACTCTTTGGCCATCCTATTGGTGCCAAAAGGTGGAGATGCCTTTAAAACAGAGTTCCAATCTAATCAACCATAACAATTATAAATATCATTTGTATTACACAATAAAAGTCTATATAATCTTTTTTAAATGTCTTATAATATCTCAATAGCATTAAGATGGTCTTAATTAATAATGCTCTCTTTTGTCAACTTTTGTAATTGTACAATAAAAATATAAATTCTATTTTATTTAATGAATACATCTGAATTAACATATTTTTATTTTAGAAAATTAGATTATTTTTTATCCATTTTTAATTATTCTTATTTTATTTTTTATATATTAATATATTTATAATATTTTCATGTAAATTTTTTAAATATATTTTATTTAAAAGTGATTACATGATTAGGTCTAATTTAGAATTGATGTTGTTTTTAAAGTAGTATTGAAGATTCAAAATGATTTTAAATTCAAATATTTTAATTGTAATATAAGCAAAATTAAACTAAAATAAATTTCTTAAATTTAGGTTTCTTAATTTTGGTGTTGCATTGATAAATTCCTATAATTCAAAATATACCTTTAATTTAGTGTTATATTTTGGTTACTAGTATAACACTAAATTTATGATTCTTAGATTTTTTTCTTAATTGTAAATTCACCCAAAATCTGATTTTTAAAAGTTATTAAGATTAGATTGTTTTTAATTTTTATATTAACTACATATTGATATTAGAATATTTAATCATAAGATTAATGAAAATGTACAAGAAAAAGTTAAAATTGTATTTTTTAAATGTGGAAAATATCTGACAAAGACTTTTTAGTCTTATAGTTGCACTCATACTTACATATCTTATTTGAGTTGTTGATATAAACTAAATAACAATATTTTGTATGACTATTCTTTTTTAGTTATGTCTTTTTATTATCAACTAAAGTAATTTGTAGGATTTTAAATAATTAATGAAAAATAGAATAGAATTGGTGAACAAAGTTTTAAAAAAAAACAAAAACAACAACAATGACAACCATCACATTTAATATCCTAAATAATTGTTTGACTAAAAGTTTAAGAAATTGAGAGATTTGAGATGAATAACTTGATATTACAATGCATGTTTAAATATATATATATATATATATTAAAAACTTAATAGACGAAATTATTTTTTCAAATTGTAACATATTTGTACATTTAAATCAATTTTTTTTATAAAAAAATGCATTAAAGTTATTAACAATTGAAACTTATAACTTTAAAGACAATATAAATCAAGAAAATGTAAGTTCAATAAATATTATTATAATAAATTCTATTTAATTTGATTTAATTAGAAAATATTATATTTGGAGTTTAATAAAAATAAATAATCGAACTTTTTATGTTGGATTTTTTATTTTTATCAAACTAATTTCTAATAATTTAAGTACAAGAAGTAATTGTGATTTATTGCACGAATACATTGTAAATTAATGTGCTTGTTGAAAGAATCTACATGGTGCAACCAATGTCAATTATATGAAAGGCTATTTCATATACAAAATAGATGGAACAAAGCATGCAAAAAATCATCTATTTTAATTAAATATTTCGATTAGGGAATTATATATATAATCCAAAAGAAGCACTATTTTAATTTTGAAAATATATATATATATAGTCATTTTTGTTAATTTTAACCACATATTTGCTTATTACAATTGCTTGTAGATGATGAATAAACAATATATGAATTTAAACATTAATTAATTTTGAGTATATAGACTTAAATCAATTTTTTTTTAGAAATATATATAAAAGCTGAATGTGCAAATATACATAAAAAAATACAAATATTCTACCATTTTCAACTTACACTATCTCAATTTATAATATTATGTTGACTTCTAGGAAGGGATTTGAAACTCAAAAAAACAGGGAAAAAAAAAAAAAAAATCTGTAATAGTATTTTTTTTTTTTTTTTTTTTTTTCCCCTCATCAAATGTAAAATTAAACATCCGCAAAATAGAATTTCAATCATTTTGTCATTAATTCTGTGTTATTATTGCACAAAGAATTTATACTGTAACATTCAACATTGATACTGAATAACAATTATCATTTATATATGTATAAATATATATATGCACTCACACTCACAATATAATTGTATTTGAAATTAGTAACTTTAGAATTTTCGATTCGGCAGAAGTTATATATTTTTTTTTTGATGAAAAACAAATATAAATAAATTTCTTTTAGGTTTCAAATCAGTGGAAAAGTAGAATGATAAAATTAAAACATATAACATGGTCGGAAGTCATAATGACTTGTTTAACTATTAACAAAAATTTCAAAAACTTTTTCCCTCAAAACATAATGTATTTAATAAGAATCCACCTCAAAATATAGTTTCATCACCAGAATAATAATTGTTTCTGGGAAGGGCTCTGTACGTCATTTCTAGACACTGTTAGGATATTTAGAATTACATGGGCAAAAGATAACAAATAAGGATAACAGAAGGATGCGAGAACATCATGCACAAAATTCTCGGAGGAAACTCGGTAGAATACAAGAAAGGGCTGTAGTTCAAAGCACTATTATACATAGTGTGGACTAATCAACGTCGACTTAAAACATTGTCTGCAATTGTGGAAAGCCCATGACTACCCTTTCCAGCAGCAATTGAAACAATAACAATGCCTACTACACTCGAGTAATACCATGATAAGCTCCTCAGTATGAAAGAGTCAAGCTTTACTACACAAGACGAGTAGCTGTCCATGACCGTCTTGGAAATTGTATCCCAACATCCACCGTTGCGCTCCAAGCTACTCCCGAAGCCAGAGTGGTGACAACAAAAAAATTCTTGGAAGTAAAGCTGCTGGATACCATAACGCATCTGAAATGGTTTTCTCCGACGATGTTGAGGCATGCAGAATCTAGTGACAAGACCTCCAGTGAAGAAAAACAACAAAAAAAGACCTTTTCCCATCTTCATCAACGTGACACGGCTACTAGAAGTCTGAATATAGGCGTAGCTGTGACTGTTGGGATTCCGCCCATTTCTCACGATGGCTTCGGCATTCGCTCCAATAAGAGGCAGCATTGGCATAGGAAAAATCGTTATCTTTTCTTGGCAGCTGTCAGCTTTCAGAGAAGTATACTAACTGTTTGAAGATGAGAAATGCTTTCGTTCTTCCTTGGGACTTTTCGGACTTGAAATGTCTCGGTGAACAGAGCAAGCACAGTTCTCAGGACCAACTTCCTCAACAATGCAAGGAACAACGACATCCCCATCAGGGAACGCACGATTCCGAACCTCAATCAATTCTTCTACGAAGTCATCAAGTTTCTCTACTGTCACACTTGGCATGACCACTGCATGGGCAATTTTACCCTGCAGCCAGAAAAACACCAACTGAGTCATCACAAGAAATCCAAACTGGTTTTCTACCCGAAGTAAGCCACAAAAACCATTACAAGCCCTACCTAGGCAGACTAGAATGAGGGAACTTTGAGGTATGAAAAGATGATTAGGTGTATCCAAAAACATTCAAAGGCTGTCGACATGTACCAACAAGATAAAAATGATAACCTTCACAATTAGGCAATGGCACAGACCTGGCACGCGAGCTGCCATTTGAGAATGAACGCTTCATCTAACGGCCTCTCGAACACAACTGTGCTGCTGAGCTCATTCAGCAGCACGCCAACATTGGCTTCTCGAAGGCGCTCTTTAAGGTAGTATGCATTACGAAGGCACCGTTGGACCTCCTTCTGGAAGCCCCGGTATCCTTTTCGGTTCAAAGTGTACCAAAGAAAAATCGGTGCATGGCCGTTACGGCTTCCCATGATTGTTGCATCTCGGGATGCCAAATATTCTACGTTGCGTGACAAGACGTTGATGTGCTTCATTCTGGTGATCTGCACTCCGCAAGGCATTGGGCAGCCAACGAATTTGTGACCAGATACACTAACGCTACCTATGGGTTTCTTGAACGTTACTTTTGGAGCCTGCACGTGTATTTCAATCAGTAGCTTACATCAGAACCAATGTCGCTTTCTAGTGAAAACTAACGTTAATGACGAACAACGCTGTGCAGTTGTAACCGACATCTACAATAACACCATCAAGGGGCGGACAAAAAGATCGATTTCTTATTCACAAATGCAAATAAACAAATAAACAAATAAATCCATCTTTTTCCTGGCAATCTTGGGACTTATCGGTTGTAATGCCTCAAGTAATGCATACCCTCCTGACGAAAGGCATCATGAGACCGAATAAGGCACCATCAACATGGATGTAAAATCGGTCCTCAGTATAGCCAACTTTCTCTAATGTCTTCAATACCAAGTCGAGATCGTCAACTGCTCCTTTCACTGTTGTGCCTGTGGGAACATTACAGACAAGTGTTAAAAACGTCAGCCTTTATGCCAGGAAAGTGATGGTGCATCCACTAGCCAAAATAAACAAGTTTTATTTTAAAAAATCACGACTGATGTGTTCGGTTAAGGTCAATGAAACGTTGTACAAATGCACAATTTCCAACTGTACATGAGTGAGAAGAAAGAGTATATTCTTTATATGAAAAGAAACAAAATAGTGAAAAAAAAATAGGAAAATTGTAGAAGAGGTACTGCAGGTTTAAAGTAGTACCAATATTGACATTCAAAATTGCAGGTTTGTCCTTCCGTTCCGTCAATTTGCGCTCGAAATCAGCACAGTCTATCTCCCCAGACAGAAGCGTGTCAACCTTCACTGCCTCCATGCGATACATGCGAGCAGCCTTGAATACAGAATAATGCGAGTCCCTTGACGCGTATAGAATCCCATCAGGTAAGACCTCTCTCCTGCAAGCCCGTGTGGTTCCAGATTAAATTCTTCTCACAGTATGACCAGCAGCACTCCTTAAAACCAGGAGGCAGTCAGGGACGCCACAGGTGCGGTAGTCAACATATTGTAGTTCAAAAATAGCGCGACAAATTTCAAAACTAAAATATTCGAATCTGGAATGTGAACAGTAGCTCACCCAACAAGGATGCCGTGGAGGTTTCCTTCTGTGCCACAGTTGGTGATGTATCCCCAGTACTCCTCTTTCTCAAGCTCCCACAGTCTGGCGAACCAATCCAAGACTCCGACCTCGAACTGTCTGGAGTGGACACCGTAGTTGCTTTCGATGAATGGATCGCCCAAATTATTGATGGAAAAGTGTTGTAGCTGCGACAGTGCTCCATAATCGAAGTCAAGATTATAGGGGTACCCTGCAAAGGAGAAATGTAACGTTAAAGATTCGACGAAGGCAAAGTAAGTGTGCGACATTGAACGATAACGAGTTCACTACCGAGCAACACTAACTAAAGAAAACGCAAGAGGACGTATTGAAGAATCGGATAGTTCGAGATCCACAATACGGCCTCAAAAAATAACAACTTAGAACATGCTCTAGGAAAAGACCACTGCGTAGCAAAGAACACTACTAATGCAAAATGAAGAGTCGATCAAGTCACTTGTAACAAATATGTGATCCAAGGCTCAGATACTCTTTCAAACCAGCGCTAGACCATTACTATCTACAGCAGGGAAATTTCTGAAGAAAACTCACAGGAAATCTCTGAAAGCCGCTTCCGCAGCAATCAGAGGAACGAAGACAGATAACAGAATCACAAAGCCTTACAGAAATCCTGAAAGCTTACATGCCCAAGAATATCGTAAACATGGTATAACAATGTCTTTCAGGTCAATCAAACAATTGCAAAAATAAAACCACCAATGTCACCAAAATAGCTCAACGATCCAACACATTCTCCGCCAAGGCCATAGCCAAACAAGATCAATTCAAATAAATTGATAAAAGAGGATTGATGCAACAGTCGCATGCGTACCTAAATGAAACTTGGTCTTCTCGACGAGCGTTTTGCGATAGCGCGCAAGAATACCAGCCATGTACGCGTCTCTGTCTCCAGTCACATCGTCATCCATCTCCGGCTCCGTGATTTCCAAACAAGTCCCATGGATGTTCTTACCCAGCACAAAGTTCTTGGTTTGCTCCACCACGACGTCTTTCTCCGCTTCCTCACTCTGTCCATTCACCAACCCGGGGAGGATAGTTTTGAAGCTTTCGACGGGGATCTCTTCAGGCAGTGCCTCCGCTGGCTGCGACAGCAGTGTCCACTTCTTAGACTTCGAGAAGCCATCCTCTACAACCACCGTCGCTGATTCCACGCTCCCTACCATTTCTCCGGATTCGTCTCTCACACTCGCTCTCTCACACACAGCCCCAAAGAAGAGTTCACACTCACACGGAAAGAAACCCACCTCTACAGCTTCAAAACACCCGCTGCTAAGCCCAATCGCATCAGCACCAGGCAGAGGATCAAAGCGAAGAGAGGAAATGTGAGCAAACTTGGACGGTGAACTGCATTTATATGTCCTTCGAGGAGCCCCAACCTTCCGCGGGGAACAGGAAGTTACACCGAAGATTCGAACGTAGAGAAGTAATTGATGAACTTATTCGATTTCCACCGTCGGGAACATCAGAGGGTTTCAGAATTTCGCTTGTGATTTCTCTAAAATTAGATGGGTTTTTTTCCTCCTAATCACAACAGGACAAGCCCTCAAGGGAATCCATCCCACGGAGTCGTAGTTCGTTGCTAATGGCATTGCTGCCGATTCTCTGTGACTGGTGACCAGCGTTTAGGCTGCTGCTTGCTGCAGGCCAGGGCAGAGCACTCGGGAACTCAATCACAACATCAAATTCCGTCAATATTCGGTAAAACCTCCGCACAACAATGCTCGCCCCTCCCCAGAATTGCACCGTGTCTCGATGCAATCGATACCGCGACACTACAAACCCCAATAATATCAAAAGGAATTCGTCCACAGGGGGGATGTCAGACAACGTCAAATCAATCGAGGAGATTCATCACGATGGGCGGACAGCTCTCCAACTCTTCCCTTCCTCTGCCATGTCCTGCCCTGCCCTTTTTCACAGTTGGCTCCCTTTCAACTCACGACCAACATGCATATCTCAACAACAACAACAAAAAATTACAAAACATAAAGAGAATTTACAGTTACGGAGCAGCCCGTTCCGACCTAGCAACCTATGGAAGAGTGAAGAGATGGAGGGACGAGTGGGGTAGGGGGGTCGGGTTAGGGGGGTGGGGTGCCAACTAGATCCTTTAAGGCCACCTAAAGGGCCGCAAAGTTCGACACGAGAACACCCCCCCCCCCTTGGTGACGTGGAGGCGACCACTGGAGGCGCAGCAACTGCCAGGGAAGTGAACTGCAGCAACAGCCTACCTAGATGACCTAGCCACCTACTCAGACAGCTACCTCCCTACCTACCTATCTACCTTCCTCAGTGTCAGGTTGCACCCCGAATCTCCCCGCTTTTGTGAGTTCGCCTTCCTCAAACCTCGCCAGATCCACCCCTTCTGGAATATTCAGCACGGGAACCGTCCTGGCGCGGGGGTGAGGACGGTGATGGGTGGTGGAATCCCGTCCCATGTCGCTCAGGTGGGGCCCATCCCCATTCCATTCAATTTCATTCCCCCTCGCCCACTCGCCATCGCTCATTAATTTCCTTCCTTTTGCGATGTTTAATACTCTTGGTTGGGTTGTGTTATTACCCTCTAAATTGGCATTTTCTTGGTATGCTTTGGATCATGGGATTTGGAGAAGAGTTAAGATGAAAGTACATCTTTTGATAATGGTTCATATTTGAAGGGAAGTAGAAGTGTTGTTTTTTTAAGTGGGTAATACTCTCAAAAGTGTTTATAAATAATTGAATACTATAAGTGGTGAGATTTTAATGTTGCTATTTTTTTGAAATGCTAACCATTTCATTATTCTATGGATTAATTTTACAAGAAATATTAGTAGATACTTTGACTCTTTTCACTATTTGCATATTTTTCTCTCCTTTGTTAAGCTGATACATGGACTAATAAAAATAAAAATAAATCTTCTCATCATTGATCTTAGATATAATCTATGAGATACTAATGTGATCTAAACTAGTCTTCTAATTTAATCCCCAAATCTTTGAGATATTGGCAAGACAAAAGCCAATTAACACAATCTGTTTTTTTAGCTAAGATTCTTACTTATATATTTTATTGATTTTGATGTTGAATATTATTCATTGATTTTTTAATTCCAAAAATCTTTCTAAAGTAGATAATAAAGCAATTATTACATTTCAATCTATAGTTATATCAATTTATAAGCATTTGAATCAACAATTACATTTTCAATAAGGAAATAATATCTTGTATTGTCTTTATAATGGAGATAAGCACAATAGATGAAGGTCTTACAATATATAAATTGTAAAAAAACATCATAAAGACTTTACACTTATTAGTGATCTAACTCTTATTGATTGTTAGTGTCTATTAAATGTAATGTATTCTTAAGAGCCTATATGATTGACTTTGATATATCTTTTTGCTAATCTTTTTTAGATGTAAGAATGATAGAACTCAACATTTTTTGCCCTAGCATAGAATATAAGATTTTTTACAAGTTTAATTATATTAATATTAGTACACATATGATGAAGGTCCATTTTTGTTGAAATAGATGTATTGTAAAGCACTAAAGTAATTATTGAGATCAAAACACCTAACTAAAATCTTAAAAAATACTACTTTATTAAATTCTAGCTTTTAGATGATATGTTTTAGGTATATTGCTTCTTTCACTCCTTCAACAAAAGCTCAATATTCTACTTTTGTGGTTGACAAGAAAATAGTAGATTATTTCTTATTAGTTCATGAGATTGCCTCTTTTTCTCTCTCCCCCTTTCTCTCCTCTCTTTCCATCTGTCATGTAAACAAAGATCATTATACATAATACATTGAGTGTTACAAATCAATCACAAACTATGTAATTTAAACCAAATACAAATACACATCCAATATACTCTCAAGGAAAGATTAGAAATCTACACCAAACTAAGTTAAGTTATCTTTTACACTACAAAGGGAGAATCCAAGAGTATAAGTGTAAAAATATAAAAAAAATCCTAAAGCTTTACTAAAATGACTAAAACACCATAGCTAAGCAAATTCTTACAACAAGTTCTTTCACTCTCAAAATTACTTATAAGACTTAACTTGATAAGAATGTAAATTCAAGTGTTTTTTTTCTACTTAAGTATTTAAACCCTAGTGGATATGAACAAAGTCAACTAATGGAAAAATTATCAATGGATGAAAAACTACTAACCAAACCAAACTACATAGATTTGATAGAATTTGGTATCTATGGCCATATCATGTAACACCTCCTATATTATATGGAATAAGAATTATCTAATACTTCTTTCAAACCTTTATAGAAAATATAATTAAAATTGATAAAGCCTTCAAACTTGGTATTAGAAGTATTATAAGTTAATCATCTAAGAATAAGTTATTGATTTTTTTAATAAAAAATATTATAATACATAGTAGATTTGACATAGCATAATATATATGTCACAAATTTTTAATAAAGTTCTTGAAGATAAAACATAAATCTATTCATAAATACAAAATAATAAATTAAATCTAGTCAAGTATTGACTAAGTATAACAACTTATCAATAGTAAGGTAATATGCACTTTGTTTAAAATCTACGGAATAAGAATTAAGAGAGAGCAATTGATTTTTTGATAGAAGAGGAAAAAAAATAAAATAAAATAAAATAAAAACGATCTTTTGCATAAATATTTATCAAAATTTAAAGAATTTTTTTGTTGATAAATTATAATATCATGTTTAATTATAAAAACTTAATTTCTAAATAACATTTGATGATTTTTAAAATTTCCATCTCATATTAAATATAGAATTGATTTAAAATATAATCAATTATAAAGTGACAATTTTTCATATTCAATAGATTTTTGGCATGCAAAAATATAATAACAATAATAAAGCCTTCATCAAAGTAATAAAGATTATAGTCTATTAAATTTTAGAACTAATCATGGACTAAAAGATAATAAATGGTTTTTTTGTACTAAACTTGAGGGCTTTTTTAAGCCTATAAATTTACTTATTAAATTTATAAATTAAGTATATATATATATATATATATATATATATTTAATTCTTCAAGTTGATGCATATAAATTGACTCATGTAATTTTTTATCAAAAAAAAGGCTGCCACAAGGTCTATATGATGGATTTTTCAATTAAATCTTATTGCTATAGGGATGATAATATGAAGAGTGAACCATTTGATTATAAGTGCAAAATAATTCATAATATTTAATTTAAAATTTTTAACATATTTTTCTTTAACAACTAGCCAAGCTTTAAGGATCCAATAAATAGGGTGTAAATCAAATGTGATCTAAAGTATCTATTGACACAAACGGCTTATATAACTAGATGGAAAAGCAATGAAAATCCAAAAATGATTCTTAACTTGAGAGTTTATTTCTAAAAGTATAGCTTTTTTATAATTAAAATCTTAAAAGATATTTTTAATATATATGTTTTTATTTAATAATATGTTTTAAATAATAAAAAGAATATGAAGTAGTGAGCTACATTATCAAGGACATGAATTACAAAAAAATCAAAGAATAAACACATTCTTATATCACTCAAAAATATTTATAATATTAAAAATAAAATAGCTACTTTCAAAGATAAAATGACTAAAGATGCTTGAAACAAGGCTAAGAACAAAAAAAAACATTGATAAGATTGAAAAAGGCTTCACTCTTGCTTCTAAATATATTATATAACTAAGATGCTTTGTAGTAATATTCTATAAGTCATCTAATAAGTATCTAACTTAGGACATATATGATTGACTTGCAAGGTAAGTTTTTAATATATACTCTACATAGCCAACTTGTATCACAAGTAGTTAATGTGCACAATATGTGACTAACTTGTTGATTAAGTTTTTAACCAATCAATTACTTGCAAACACTTATAAATTCAAATATATAATATATTATTAAAAAAATAATTCTACTTAATTCTAATTATTTTAATAATTATTATTATTGATATGAATATCTATGATATGCATGTAGAAATCATAATACATAAAATAATAAATAAATAAATGGTGGCATATTTAAATCAAATAGTGGTTCCAATTAAAGCAAGACTTGAAAGCTTTGATAAATCTAGGGATTCTTTAATATTGGTAGACTTTGGATTTGTTGCAAATATGTAAAAGGAAACCTAAGATCATTGTTGTCAATGATAAGAAGAAGGTTTGTCTAGACAATCACTTCAGTAGATGGATTTCAATTTGTATCATTTAAAAAATTATAATTAGTAGTAAGAAATGAAAAAAATTGATTTGAAGATGAGGTACTAAATTTTTAGATAAACTTAGTTAGGTTTCATTAAAAGATAAATCTTGAATTTTGATAATCTTATTTTTGATAGAATTATAGTAGAAAAAAACTTTGAGTATATCTCATAGTTTTTTATTACATAAGTGATTGGTATATTTCCTAACTTGACATGTTTTTCTTTTTTTAAATGTGAATAAAAGCTTAGTAGTAAATGATTGATAAATGAGATAATTTTGGCTATTTTTAGTATAATTATTTAAATAGAATAGAAAAAATATTTACTTTGTAAATATTTTATATTAAAAGTAATTAAAACTTTTGGATATTTCTTCTTAAAAATAAGCATACTTATTATATTCAATGGCTATATTTTAACATGACTCATTAAATAACTTATTTACCTAATATACCATTTAATTTTTTATAGATTATAAAAACTAATAAATTCTTATTGAATATTTTTATTAATAAGAAATTAAAAAAAATTATAGATAAATATATTTATCTCTTTTATTTAAGCACAAGCAATGAAGTTTTTTCTTAAATTTAATTTCTATTAGCAATTTGAATTACTCTAAGTAATAAAAAGTGTCAAATTTCTTATTTAAAAAA